ATATTTCCTTTCTATACACGCACCGTTTTTGTGGTCAACAGATATTATATTAGATACGTGAAATAAATGTCCATACTGTTTTTTCATTACTTGACTAGGTTATTGATGTGCCTATTCAACCTATATCCTATTTTAGCTTACCGATATATGTTGCAAGATGCATCATGCAAGGTATCTGGAAGTCTACACTTTATCGAGTCTCTTTATTACATTTAAATTCAGTCCGATCAAAGTGTTGGAAATATTCTTCGAACTTTTCAGAAAATTACACATTGATTTGCCTCTTTTTGATTCAGCATAAGACATTAATATACAGTTGCAGCTTGATTTTTCAATGCATCTTCTTCAGATATGCACCAAAAAATATTAATTCAAATTTTCTGATTAATCATCATAACTGAATCTCAAAGGGTTGGATTAGATTATTTTTTTATGTAGATTGGTTCAACAACTGATTCATCTGCAAGTATTAATTTATAAAAAAATAATTTACTGAAGTAGAAAAATCAGACGTAAGATTTTGTAACACTAGATGAAATTCTTGAAAAAATCGTAGTCTTAGAAATCTTACATGATGGTGTAAGAATTCTGAGGCTACGATTTTCGTCTGATCTTATAGGATCGTGCTTGATCTTAGCATCTGATTGTTTGACCTGGGAAGCTTCTCAAACTTCTTGATGCTAATGCTTAGTGCCGTAGAGAATCTTGAATTTTTCTTCTTGGAAAATGTACGGATTCTAAATGTAAAGCTTACAAGAAAGAAGTGACTATTCCTATAGGTTTCAAAAAACTTGATGTTCTAGTAGATAGTGATACGTGTAGTGTCCAATGTTCAATATGCTAAGGTGAGTAGAGTATAGTAAAAAAAATATTTATGGTAGAATTAGGGTATTGCTCATACTACGAAGATTTTTTTAGTACACAACCTTGAAGACACTCCTGAAATCTTTTTGGTTTAGAAGGAGTGGACCGTTATATTAGAGCAACATTACGTTTTGACAAAAAAAGAATCACAATTGGACTCGTAGGACAAATGGTCGTTGAACTATCCATAACTTAGTGTATTAGGAAAAGGCTCTAGGAAGTTTCGACACATTCAGAAACAAATGGATTTATTTGCAGTGCAAACGATAGAGTTTTGAAAGGAAGAAAATAGAATTGAGCGGCACAATGGTTAATGACATTTTATTCTTACGAAACTTTTGAAATCTGTGATAATTTTGTATTAGATTATCGTTAGAAATCAATAAAAGACGCTGAAACATAATGAAGAAAACGTCATGTTGGCATATACCAAAACCTGAAAATCTCAGGATAGGATGTATGGTACAAAATCAACAGGGTAGAATAGGATAAGAGTACGGAAAGTCTTCTTCTGTAAGACTCTGCTTCAAAAGCATAAAAGTAAAACGTGATTAACTTAATTTCTCGTGGATCCCTTATAGTTTCATATGCCAATGTTTATTTAACCGCTTTTGAAAAAGAACAGACATGGAAAAATTTCAGATTTAAATATGACAGGTTTGATCACTACTAATTAATATTTTCCATAATTCGATTAACACTTATTTGATATCAAATCTACTTTGTAACTGTCTATTTTATTGTTTTATATCGAATCAAAGATAGAAAGACGAAATTTTTTCATCCGTTTGTGTATTTTAAAAAATTTTATGAATTTATTTTCAGGTTAAAATTAAATGAAAGCACAAAAAAAACCAAAGTATTGCTCATGATTGATTTGTCTTTGAAAACTTCTTAATATTCTATAAATGGAATTGATCTTAAGCAACGACTCTCAAGATTTTTTAGATATTTGATGAATTGTGCTCGATGATCAGGATGGACCATCATAATGAATAAACAGATGAGAAGACCTGATGGATATTGGGCAGATACAGTACTTGAACTTGGTCCAAGATATGTCGATCCTGTAAATAAATAACCCCATTTTCCTATATCGTATCCGAATAATTCTGGACCTAGAAATGTCACTGAACGCTGTTGATTAGTAGCCGATTCATATTGAACAGACAATTGTTCCATATGATCAGCAAAACGAGAACTACCGTATTCTCCTACATGTAATTTTAAATGTACTTTCGATCGAGAACATTCATATTCTAATCCAATTATAATCAATTCAACATCATAATAATCTGATATTTTGTCTATTTGATAATAAAATGAATTTGATAGAATGTTGTTAATTTTTGACATGAGAACTAGTTCAATCGATCGGTTTTGATGTGTTAAATCTTCCCATAACTGTAAAATATCATTTGCTGTATATTGTCTTAATTTTATTGTAACATTCACTAATTGATCTAATTTGTTATTATCATTCTCAAAATTTCTTTCGAGTCTCAAAAGATATAACATTTTCCAGCTTTGAATATTATTAATTTCACCAGAATATGCTCCATAACGTGAAATATATAAATCTTGCCAAAATATTTCATCACGTAAAACTGTATACCATTGTTTACAGACAAGTTGCATTGAATATAAATCAATCGAATCATTGATGAAATGAAGAACTCGTTTTGTAGGAATTTCGGGTATGTCTGGAAATAAACGATAATTATCAGTTTCAAATTTAATGCATGAATATGATAATTGAAATGTTTGTTTGAATTTTTCTTGTTGAATGGCAATTAAATTTTCAATTACATAATCCGCTAACCATGGTGGACCTTGAGTACAAATATGTTCCAATCCAATGAAAATGTCATCATTAAAAGATAATGACATAGCCACTTGATATATAGATGATATTTGTTTGTCTTTTTCATGTTGAAAAAACTCATCTCGACTAATAGTAATACCTTCTCGATTATTCGTCGAATTAATTACAAACTCATTTGTATTGGGTGGACGTTTGCCATGGATCTTTTCATTATATCGAACAAATAAATCACACAATACCATATCATCATCAGTTAGAGGTGATGTAACTGTTAGAAGTTTCCGATAGTCTTTTGCTGTCTTTTCCCATTGATGTGAATAGTAGAGCATATATTTTTTTAATATGAATAGTAGCTTAGCTGAAGCACTATAAATTGATTCAATTTTTTCTCTTTTTAATTCCCAATACCGTTCATCTATCACCTAATTTACTGAATTATCTAATATATATGCTATATAGGATGTTGATGATCGTGGAATGACAAAATCATACTTAGAACCGTCAAGCAATGTACAATATATGTATAAATCTAACTGATCATTATCACTTGATATAGGTGTGATCATATCGATAGTTTTGATAGCTTTATCTCTTCTTTTTAACCATTTAAAAAAAAAGTCGAAGAACCAATAATATCCCAATCAGTATTTTTGTCCGTTGATACTCCTCGAAAGTTGGGCAAAAAGTTACGAGCAGCACGAGAACCAATTATAATGCCACCGGGAAAACGAGTGTTGAGTGAGTTCTTTTTAAGTATCGATTTGATTTCGGATTGTTTAGATGTAAGCTTAATGCTGCAATGTCTGAAATCTGTTAACATGTTTACTGCACTTGTGTACAATAGCGGAAAAAGTGACTATCTATAACAATATCATACATAGGTTTAATATGAAAAGTCGTTTAGATGTCCACACCCACAGAATTATGGTTTCTATTACAACACTATGTAGTATCTTTAGACAAAAAGTCATTGAAAACAGAAGCGAATAGCTAAAGTGGT